ATCTTTAGCACCTGACCACACATAGTGCGGGTTATCAGATCGCCGGAATATTTTTTAACCGACTTCCAAAAAAGGAGGATTCAGTTCGTCGGAATATTTTTATACCCGAGCGCACTTGTGCCCAAGGCTATTATAACTTTGTTCACATAACGGTTGTTTGTAACAGGCAAAACGAATCGAGATAGATATAGACAAATGTATACATAAATGATCAGAATGAAAAGAGAAATCGATTAAGCGGTGACTGTCTGTCCGTCCGTCTGTCCGTCCGTCTGTGCACACGATTACTCGAGTAAAAATTAATATATCTTAACGAAACTTGGTACGTGTACTTCTTTCGGGAGTAGGACGGATGGTATTGAAAATGGGAAAAATCGGACAATAACCACGCCTACCTCCCATATAACGGTAATTTTCAGAAATACGAAAACTGCGATATTTTAGTAACTACTGAAGATAATTCACTCAAAATTGATATTTACAATAATTTTTAGACAAAAAATAAGAATATTATAAATTTTTGAAAAATGGGCGTAGCCACGCCCACTTATTGTTACATGTGTATATCTTGGCAACCGCTGCACCGATTTTTTCCAAACTTTGCACAGTTATTGGCCTTGGTACAGGATACCAAATGGCCGAAAATTGTAAAATCGGACAATAACCACGCCCACATCCCATATAACGGTAATTTGGAGAAATACGAAATCTTCGATAACTCAGTAAATATTAAAGCTAATTTATTCAAAATTGATGCTTGCAACAATCCTTTACCAAGAAATACGCTTATGATAAAATTTTGGAAAATGGGCGTGCCACCGCCCACTTAGGATCACATATATATATATATATCGGTAACCGTTCAACCAATTTGTACCAAACTCGGTATTTTTATTGTGCTTGCCACATAAAAGCAAAACGTTGAAAATTATTGAAATCGGACTAAAATTCCGGCCGCTCTTCATATAACGGTAAATTTCAGAAATGCTTGAAACTGCAATATTTCGAAATTTAAGGAAGCTAATTTACTCAAAATTGATACACCCCGGCTAACCATCTAGCGGTAGGTTTCGGAAAGGTGAAAAAATATTTATTTAATATTTGCGCCGGGTATTTAATGTTCGGCTCCTCCCGAACTTTGACTTTCTTACTTGTTTTTTTTTTTATGTATGTTACCGCATAACTTTGGACCACGTCAACCGATTTCGATAATTTTTGCATCGGAAAGGTAGTGTCTCAGAGGTGGTCCCATACTAATCTGGTTCAGATCCGATCATTGGATCATGAAATATGTATATTAAAGGCCGGCAAATGTTGAACTATAAAACATAGCGATCATGCAAGTTCCAGTTCATATTATGTCGCTCATACATGTTTCACAATAACATATGAAGACACTGTCGAATAATTGGAATTACTAACGTCAGAGTGAAAAACTAAAAACGCAATTTTACTATATTTGGTCCATGGTTTCGCGAGTATGTGGATATTTGTGTTTAAAATTTACTATCGTTCGGGGTTATGTATATGTATAATGAGCTAGACATTTATAAAAAAATATTAATTATTAAATAAAGAAGAAAATAGCCAATACTGGCCAAGAAAAGGAGTTTCTATTATTGCCATCAGTGCAAATTACAAATCCCGAAAATCCTGGGATTACTTGGCAAGAATCACGGGATTTTCGAGACCTTAAAAAGTCCGGGATCCCGGGATTAACATTCCTAATAAACACACAAGGAGAATAACAAAAACGCGGTAATATGCATACCTAGTGATAGAACTTTTTAGAAAAGTATCGATACTAGTACTCATTTAAAATACTCTAAAGATGAATCGATGCCAGTACTTATATTTGAAAAAAAGTGTCGATAATACTCATACTTCTTTTCTCCGCGATTTCAGACGTTCTACTTGTTTCTTTGGTAATTGTGTTTTAGTGAAGACCTATTTCAAGAAAAAACCTTTTGAACATGGAAGAAGAAGGCCATTTCTATCATTTGAGACTAAATTCAGATAAATTGCTTTTAGAAAATTTAAAATCGGTATATTTTGATAATTTTGTTGAATACTATTTTTAAATATTGGTATTTTTGTTCATTTGTCAAGGTTTGTCAAAGTTTTGTTCCTTGAAACATATGTAACTACAGTTATCTTTGAGCAATTAAAGCAAAAATAATTTGCTCGCATGTGCTCCATTTTGATTTTCGAAGGACGAAACACGATGAGTCGTAAAATTGTAATTTTGGATTTCATTGGATTATAAGAAGAATCGCATTGTTAACAGGCACAAGTGTGACCTTTAATTTGGTAAAAATTACGTAACGATTGAATACTATTTTTCAAAGATCTATGAAAAACTCCGATCAATCACTAGTTTTTTCCAACTTTTTCTTCATCTCTAAAAATTACTTAACAATAAAGGAAAACGAATGCCAAAAAGGTGTATTCGAGAGTTAACAGCTTTCATCGAAGCTGGGTACCCAAATTTACTGAGTTGCAAACCCTTTAGTTTGAAAGACCTCGATAGATCCTTTGAAGGACTATGAAACTGGACGATAATGCTCTCTAATCGGCATCGGTGAGAACGATTGTGTCCTTAGAGTTAAAGTTATTTATTTAATTGAAAGTGAAAAAGCATCAAAACTTTACTAACGAAATTTTTTACACCATTTGCAGTTATTCGCAATCAAGAACCGGTCTAAAAGGACGAAGTGCATATCCGAACTCGAAGACCTAAATATGTTCTAGCAAAACGAATTCATTTCTTGTCTTTTCCTGAAAAAGTTTTTTGTTTACTTATGGTAACTGAATAAAACTAAATATTTCACAAACGTGATCCTAAGATAAGTGTAATTAGTAATTTTTATCCTATAAATCCCTAAACCTAAGCTAAAAGTTTTAGTACTTCTATACATACACACGTATTTCATTTACCTTTTAATATTCTCTCATTGTATTCTCTTTCCCAAGTAAATATGGAAAAGAAATTATTACTTAACCATAATTAGTTTTTAAGTTTCAATAATGAGTTCAGTTGGTATTAAATCGTTCACCAAGACTGTCTAAAATCGGGAACCTTGCGAAATAGCGCGTTTTATTTAAATAATTTTTTTCATGGTACCGAAACCCGGGACAGTCGGACTTGCGATCGGTTAAATTTTAATGAGCGAAAGCGGATTTAATACAATTTAATTAAAAAGCGAATATTTAGTTCACGTTATGGAGGCTGTTTTTCGAGCGTCGAGCAGAACACAAGTCACGAAGTTGTGCAACGCGGCTAGCGATTTTCTAAAACCAGTTAAAGCTACAGATTTTGCCGAGGCAAGTTGTCCCGCCACAGTGGAGGAGGAGCTAAACTTCTTCACCCAGCGATTGAAGAATGCTCATTCGAACCTCAAAAAGGCGGACGAGGCTCTGCGAAGTACCGTTAACTTGGATGATATGCAAATAGAAATTGAAAGCGTAATTGAATACGATGATAAAGCCGTAACGATACTTGCAGAGCTTTGTACATATTTTAAGCCAACGAAAGTCAATCTACCTAACAGCGAAAACGCCGGGCAAAATGGTGAAAGTGGTCATCTTGGCATTAAGTTAAAGGCGTTCGAGTTAAAGAAATTCGACGGAAAGCTGGAAAATTGGTTGCCATTTTGGGATCAGTTCAAGCTAGCCGTTCATGAGATTCGAAAATTATCAACGGCTGCAAAATTTAATTTCCTCAGCGAATCTTTGATTGGGAAAGCTGCGACTAGCGGGGTTTACGTCATCTGACCAATGTTACAACGATGCCATAGCTCTGTTGCAAGAGGAGTACGGCAATAGCGAAAAACTAGTAGAAAAGTTTTGACAGAAATTGATGAACCTTAAGTTAGTACAGTCGTCGAGCGACGTTCGTGGTCTGCGACAACTGTATAATCACGTGAGCGCCACCATGAGATCCCTAACGGCACTTCAAATACCATCGTCTCACTATGACGTTATTGTCGGTATTGCTGAAATGTCTACCAGCGGCCATACGCATTCAATTCCATAGATCAGCCGGCAGAGGATCTCTCCCCAGCACGTTGCTCAACTCCACCGCTGACAACTTGCAAAATAGCGGCTCAAGCGACGCACAGTTAAAGACTCTCCTGGACTTTATCAGAGCCGAACTTGATGCTCTCGAAAAGTCATTGTTGTCAGAGCGTGAATATAACCGGCATGAAGACCGCGAGCGAAAAAGAAGGCACGTAAAGGCAGGTACCGTCACTGGCTTGTTTACCAACTCGAGCGATAAGCAACAACAATGTGTTTTTTGTAAGATAAATAATCACTACGCAAAAACTGCAAGAGTAATTTGAGTGCGGAACAGCGGAAAGCCATTCTCCGCCGCGAGGGAAGGTGCTTTCGTTGCACAAACAAAAATCATAACTCGAAATTCTGCAAAGCACAGTGGCTTAAATGTGACTTGTGCAGCGGTCGACATGTGACGTCAATGTGTGAGCGGCCGACGAAGGTCGAACAAAGCGGAATAACTGCTAGGATGGGCGTTCAGGAAGACAAAACGCCACCTTCAAAGGCGAGTGCTGCTATATTAAGCTCGATAGACCACAGGAATGCTGAGATTTTTCTGCAAACAGCAAAGGCAATAATTAGCAACACAAATAATACAGAACGTGTTTTGTCCAGAATTATAGTGGACAATGGGAGCCAGCGAACCTTTGTTACCGAGAGAGTCGTGAAAATGCTCAATTTACCAAGATATGATACAGAAAAATTACGAATTTTTGCGTTTGGCGATGAAAAGCAGAGAAAATGATTGACAGAATTCAAGCGTGTAGAATTGTCACTAATGAGTCAATATAGCGGCGTGCAAAACACAATCATTGCGACGGTTGTGCCTTCCATATGCGAGGATGTTTTGCCGACGCCAAAGGTTGAAAAAAAGAAACTATTACTAAAAGAAATTGGCCGATTATAAGAATTGTAATGAAAGATTTATCAACGGTATTAATCTTATGATTGGGCAAGACTACTATTGGAAATTCAATACATCGGAGAGCGAATTAGTAGCGGTGAAAACCCTTTTCGGTTGGACCGTGCAAGCTCGATATAAAAGCAACAATGGCGCGGCATGTGTATTCCAAGTACGCGAAGAGAACGCGGAAGATTTTGATGTTTCACAATTTTGGAATTTAGAGTCAATTGGCATAGCTAACATAAAAGGGGGCGGTGAAAAATTAGCGATCGAAAACACAGTGACTAATATTACCACTGGGAGATATGTAGTGCATTTGCCGTGGATAATAGATTGTGCGACTCAAAATGACAATAAACAAGTAGCGCTCAGTCGGCTTCATGGATTAACTCATAAATTGCGTAAACATTACGAAAAACTCTCGGAATATGATAACGCAATTCGCGATTTAATACATAGTAGCATCGCTGAGAAAGCGCCTGAAACTGCCATTGAGGACCCAGTGTATTACATGCCGCATAGACCAGTTTATCGCGAAGACAAGGCTACTACCAAAATGCGCATTGTGGTCGATGCGTCCTCCAGCGAACCGGGATTTTTATCTCTTAATAACACTTAAGCACAGGAGAAAATTTAGTTGCCGATATGGTGACCACTATTTTAAGGTTTCGTTCAATAAAATTGCGATTATTTCCGATATTGAAAAATCATTTTTACAGATATCTCTGGCTACGTGCGACCGTGATTCGCTCCAATTTTTGTGGTATAAGTCCATGCCGAAGTCACATGGGGAACTCCCAGAAATAGTTGAATTTCGAATGACGAGAGTTACCAAACAGTATGGTCCTATTTGCGATAAACTGAAGAAGTCATTTTCTGTTGACGACCTGGTTCTAAGCGAGAAAAACTTGGAGCTGGCTTTGGCAACATATCACCAAGCCACTAAGATCATGAGCGAAGGGAAGTTCAACTTACGAGAGTGGAACACAAACGATGCCGAATTACGAAACTGCTTTCGTAAGGACGGTTTGCAGCCAGTTTCCAATCAAAAGGTCCTTGGAATTAATTGGTGTACGACTACCTATGATATCAGCGTAGACATAGCAGGCAGCATCGACTACTTACAGTCTTTGCGAGGAACTAAACGAAATATTATTAAGGCACTGGCGAAAATTTACGATCCAATTGGAATCCTTGGTCCCTTTACACTTACAATAAAACTCATGTTGCAAAATGTTTGGAAGGTGGTACTCACTTTACCAAAATTAGAGTTGACAGCGGCATTAATAGTAGCGAGGTTAAGCGATTTTAATAAAGACTTCGAAATAGCTTCTGTTAACCTGTCGAGCGATTCCGCCATAGCATTCAATTGGATAATCGGCCACGGTAAGAAAATTAAACATTATGTTGCTACAAGAGTGGGTGAGATCAACGAGCTAACAAATATTTATGACTGGAGATATTGCCACGGTAAGACCAATCCGGCGGATCTGTTGACCAGAGGCGTTCGAGCTAAAACACTCGCAG